TTTTTAAGACGGAGTTTTGCTCTTGTTGCCCAGGCTGAAATGCAATGGCACATTCTCGGCTCACCGCAACCTCCTCCTCCTGGGTTCAAGCGATTCTCCTGTCTCAGCCTCCCAAGTAGCTGGGATTACAGGCATGTGCCACCACGTCCGGCTAATTTTTTGTATTTTTAGTAGAGATGGGGTTTCACCATGTTGACCAGGATGGTCTTGATCTCTTCAGCTCGTGATCCACCCGCCTTGAAAGTGGTGACTATCTTTTTATACAGTGTACCTGGGTTTTGGTAGGCCATTTTAAGCCAGAAATTCATTCATTCTAATGCCTCTTTGTTTTTCTTTCTTTTTTTTTTTTTTTTTTTGTTTTTTTTTTTTTTTTTTTTTTTTTTTTTTTTTTTTTTTTTTTTTTTTTTTAATGGATGAAATATCATTTTCTTTTTCTTTTTCTTGTCTTTTGTGTAAGAATTTTCACTGTGTTCCTTTTTCTTTTTGCACAAGTCTTTAGTTTTCCTCAGATCTCTGGCAATCCTTGACTAGCCATTCATGTTTAAGAGGAAGACAAAAAGCAAATTGGAAGCTTTGGACTCAGAGCTGCGGCTTATTCAGAGGTGTGTCTAGGGTGATTAGCCATCCTGGCCTGCCTAGGACCAAGAGGTTTTCTAGGACATATGACTTTCAGTACTAAAACCATGACAGTCTCAAGTGAAACAGAGGGGTTAGTCACCCTAGGTGGGCCTCATCCTGAGGTTATTGAGTAGGGACCCAGCATTTCATTGAGGGATGTCCAACTTTCAGTGTCTGAAGCTCTTTCTTTTATTGTTCAGTTTTCCCAGGGAGAAATCATCCAGGCTCCTGTTTGAAGAGTGGAAACCTGTCTGTTACTGTTCAGAGAGGAACAGGAGAGAGGAGATATTAGGACTTTCAGTGTTTGGTTATGCCTAGTCTAACTTCTTCTCAGTATAGTACTTCCATTCTCAGCTGTACTCTGAGATTCCTGATTCAGAATTTCTCTTTGGTTTAACCACTTCTGGGAATAAACTTTCCTTCTGCCAGGATGCAACAGTCCTGGCAGCTTAAGTTTAATGTAGGTGAGGTTATTTGGATTTGCTCACAATAATGAATTATGGGACAAAATTTTTGGCTCAGTCAGTCCAACTGGATTTTGAAATGTCCTGACATGACATAACAAATGAAACTGTCATTTAAGGGTCAAGGCTTTCAGGGAGTGTGTGAGTGACTAAAAAGTTGATAGATGGAAACAGATGGCTTGAGTCTTAAAGGAGAAGAGGTTGTTCTAACAGTAAGGTGAAATAGTAAGTGGGACAGACAATGCACCCACTTCCCCACCTGGAAATAGTATTTATTCTCTCACTCTTTTATCCTAGGTGCTAGGAATATGTGTTGCATAAGTCTTTGCTCTCCTTGAGTTATATGCGGTGTTAGACAAGAGTGACCAAGGCCACTGCTGAAGAGGATTGAAAGGAAGAGAGCCCATTACAGGGGAGAGCCAGATTTCAGAGAGGAGATAAAGGAAGCATTCAGTGAAGACACTGAGGATGGAGGGGAGCATAAAACATTTGTAGTTTGATAGTCTCATTGTTTACAGTGCTTTGACATTTTCAGATCACATTTCATTTCCTAGTGTTCTCTTATGTTTGCTCTGCTTACTTGGGATTCAGAATTGTATTTTTTTTTTTTTGGCAGGTTTTGTGGGGAGCTAATTTATTTACACTGTGGGAATAATCAGA